ATCAAGAAAGATAAAAATTGGGTTTTTTTTTTTCTCTTTGGTGCCACGATTCTAGAGAGAGAGAGAGAATTTCTGGAAAATGGGGAGTTGGAAGTACTATATAATCAGTTGCAAGGATTTCTGGAAAATGCTTTTGGGGCAGAGTAAAGAGCTCTTCTTTTGGTGTCATAAAAATTAAAAAGAACAAGAGAACAAAATAAAGTTTTTTTTTCTCCGAATTTCTTTTGGGTTTTGTAAATAAATAAATGAAAGAAAAATTATTCTTGAAGAAGCTTTTTAAACCAGTTTTGTCTCAATATATTAGAGATAATGGAGAGAGAGAGGTCAGGTACTGCCTTTTTTAGAGAGAGAAAATTGGGTTTAGTTTGAGAGAGAGAGAGATTAGATGATTATTTTTTTATATTTTTTTTAAGGGGTTTGGAATTGGATTGACTGGCTCTTTCTTTTTAATCTTTTGATTTTTCTTTTTAAAAATATGATTAGAATTTAGAACCTAATCTCACGCGCTTTCTTATGTGTGTGAGGGGAGATGTTGGGTAATTTGCGATATGGACTAACTTGGCGTGATCTACACGCGCGGAAAACGCGTGTGAGATTAGCTTTTTGAAAACTCTCTCTCTTTCTCTCTCTACCAATTTTCAGCTTTTCACACGCAATCGCTGCAAAGGCAATGCACGGGTTTCGCCTTTTCATACCTGCACTCTCTTTTTAACTCCCTCTCTCTTTCTCTCTCTTAATCATATTATCTCTCTAAACTTTTGGCTCTAACATTAAAATAAAAAATAAAGAAGAAATCCTTTTTTTTCTTGACAAAAAGGAAAAAAAAAAAAAATCTTTTGCCCTCCTCAATTTTTCTTGTAAATATTTCGGTAAAAAAGATTGTACGTTCAAATTTTCCCAAAATCTTCTACCGATCATTATTTAATTTTTTACGATTACGAAAGAAAAATACAATAGGGATTGAAAAAAGAGATATTTTGTCTTTTTTTTTCTTTCTTTTAAAAATAAGTAACCGTTAAATTTGTAGTGGTGGTTGGCGGGAAGATTATTACTTATTGGTCGGGACCCTAATCTAATGTTCTTTTAGATTTTTACTATAAATAATAGTCATTAAATTAATATAAATTAGAGCATAGCTTTTTCTAATGGTTAAATTAGAGCATAGTTTATTGGATGAGATGGCAACTATTATATATTTTTATTGAGGTTGAAAGTTTTATTCTCTACCCATATTTATTGAATTAATAAGTTTGATTCTAAACTTTTCTAAGTTAAATTTATCAAACTGCTGTATTTTAAAAAGATTTTAATAGAGGGGAGGATCCTTAATTTTTGTGTGGTAACTCAACTTTATTTGTCACTTTGTGTCTATATTATTAAAGGATTATAGGATTATATAATGAGCTCATTTCGAGTAAGTTAAGTATTTGGTTACATAAATGTTAATCTAACGGAGTTGATGTAGGGATCTATAGGACACAAAAATCGAAAGTTCTAAGAAATCTATTACAACTTGAAAACTTTTTAAAGTATAAGAATAGAGCTACAATTTTAAAAAATTTGGGATTTTTTTCTAAAGTACATGGACTTAGTAGAGATAGCCCTAACTTAACCAACCATTTCTCAAATTTTTATATCATCAATGTTAAAAAGATGGAATTACATATTATTTAAATCCTCGAACTTACTCTTTTTTTCTGTCTATTTAATAAGTTGACTTTTAAAGGTTCGATTACCTACCTAACTTTTACTTGTGAGTTTACGAAGCCTCTATCATTAATATTGTTAACCGAAATAATGATGGCGTAATATATTTATTGATTGATCATTATTCAAATTGGCACGACGTGAAATACAAAAATTAGAAGAAAATGGACACGTCTCGACATGCAATAGATTTGATATGTTTCTTCAAAATGAGGATAGAATAGTATGTACACTTTATTATTAAAGATTATTACTATTTAATCAACAAATATAGTGGTATAGTGGTATTGATGTATGTGTGTATAAGATGTTCAATAAATATTTGAGACGTATAATTTAGAGTTTAATAATCTCGAGTATATATAATTTAAGGTTGGGAGGCCTGAATTTGAATAAACTATATTTAGATTCATTAGATAAATAACTTTCAAAATTTCGAGACTATATAATTTTCACTCAGTAGGCGAATTTTGTAATTAGTAAATGTAACTTTCATGTATTCTATAAATTTTGTTTATTTATAATTTAAAATCTTATATCAAATTTAACTAGTTAATGGAGGAAAATTGACAAATAATTGAGATGGTTCAATATGGCCATCTATTCTTGAACTAGTTAAAAAGTTCAAATAAGATAAAAAAAAAAAAAAAAAACATGTTGCTGACATTTTAAATTATTTCAATCTTGATCACAAATTTGTATCACATGATCAATAAAACCTAGTATTGATTGAAGAAGTTTGATTAAAAAGAAAAAAAAAAGAATCAAAAGTTGTTGATAAAAAATAAATAGTGGGAAATAATGGAAAATTCTAGATTGATGAAAATTATATGAATTATCTCCAAATGTGATATTTTATGATTTATTTGAAATAAAAAAGAAAGATCTCAAAACATTGAATTGCCCTCATTTTTAGGGAAGCAAACAAAAAAACACAATTGGGACTTGAAGCAAATTGAAATGCACACATGTCACTTTTTCAATCACACCCATATCTCAAAAAAGAAGAACACAATATTATTGCTTTTAAATTATTCAATTAATATGGGCCAATTAAAAAGTAAAATAATTTCAAGGTCTATTTGATTAATAATTATTTTGTTTTTCAGTTTCAAGAATAAATACTTTTTTTTGACAAATAATACTTTTTTGTTTTATGTTGCAATTTTTTAATAAAACATATATGTACTTGGTAATATTTAGCGATCTAATATTGTTGGATAAGATAATATTATCTTTCAATTCTCATGTACTCATTTTTATTTATTTTTAATTCCACACAATTTATTGAGTCAAATAGAAAGTTTTTTTTTAGTACAAATAGAAAGTATTTAATTTAGTARATAAGTTTCCTTTTTTATTTTGTTGGGGTGAGAAAATCAGACGGAGGAAGTTCCAAGTGATCAAGACCCAACCCAAGAATCATCTCAAGTAGGTTCGAGATGCCATACTTAGTCACAAGAACCTTGTGGAGATGCCTCCCAGTGATGTGACCTCTGTTTGCGCTCGAATTCAGGCATCCGACATATTCGACTTTCGAACTGATACACATAATTCTCTATCGAATATGGYCTATCGGATCCCAAACATTTAGATAKAGGGTCTCACTTCCACATAAGGTATCGAATTCTATCTTGAACTCTCTGTTAAATCTAAGCATAAATTGATTTGAGCATCAGAATTTTTGCCTCTTTTGTATTTCTTATTGGAGCGCTCAAGTTATTTCCCCAATCATACCTYAATCGGTTTGATCAATCCACAAATATTTAATTTGTTAGAAGCACACCGAGGGAAGAAAAATAATTAAACATGATGATTTAATTTCAAAGTCCTTTTGTATCGCAAGAGAGAAAACTTAAGTTCAAATTTGTGAGGAAATAAAAAGAAAAAGAAAGTAAAATAGGAAAGAAGATGATAACGATCATTTGTCATATTGTATCATTCAATTTATCAATTGCGACATTTTTATTATGATTATCAAGACGATATCTAAGAAAAATAGGAAATATATTTTGGTCCATCAAGTTTTTTTTTTTTTACACAATTGAGGATATAGAAGATCGAACTTCCAACCTCGAAAGAAGGAGTATATATTAATTATCGCTGAACTATGTTCATGATGACCAATAAAATTTTTCTTATAATATTCTAAAGAAAATATGTACTAATGGTCTGATCTTTATTCCTAYCGTTGTTAAACTGAAAAAATAAATAAATAAATAAAGCTTACAACATAAAGAATAAAATATATTTTTTGGAAACTTAGAAGTTTAGACTAAATTGAGTTTCATATATCACAGCCAAAACAATAATTGGCTCATAATTTTTGTAGGTCTAAGTTTGTGTAGGTATTGAGTTTGCTGGTAACATTCGTAAAATGGAATGTTTCAAAAGCCTATAAGTTAATAGATAAACTCGCGTGGTACTAAATATGGACTTGGATATCACAATTTTTTCTGTTGAATTCAACAACATTCCTTTACATTTTGTCAAAAAAATTTAAAATAAAAATAATTTATACCTATACATAGTTTTGTTCGATGAATCAATTTTAACCATAAAACTTTTAATAAAATATTACATTCAATTTAGTCGTGAAAATTAGATGGTCTCTCCTTTGTTCTTTTTTTCACAAAAAAAAAAAAAATCAAGCAAATGACCCAAATTATAGTTATTAAAATACAAAACACCACCAAATGAATCAATCCCCACAAAAATAGCTAGCATTTTTTTTCTTCTTTTGATCAAATAAACACTGCAATAAAAAGAAATAAGATCGCTAAAGTTACATGTGACCACCGAAAGAAAATATAAGAAATTAGCTATAGCATGATTTCACCTCTTATTTAAGTTTTAAAGTTTTAAATTATTAAATTTTGTTCTACTTCAATAAATATAATTTTTCTTAAAAAATTAATGGGAAAAATCATAATAGATAGAGAGAGAGGGAGGAGCAAAAAGAGTAGGAGAGGAGGAATAAATGCATGGAAACAAAACAGGTGAGAAAGGAAGGAAGCAATAAAGAAAGGAAAGTTTTTAAATTTTTCCTTTGCAAAAAAGAAAAATAAAGAATAAAAGTCCTTTTTTTAATTTTTTCTTTTAATGAATTTTTGGTTTTATTTTTGAGGGTAGGTCGGTGGGTCGGTCTTGTTCATTCATTTTCCACTTTTCATTTTCAATTCCCCAATTCCCAACTACGTGCCACCTACGTCTCTCCCCTCCCCCTCTCTCTTAAATATTTAAAAAGAAAATATAGACAATAAGTCTCTTTCGTATTTTTACAACGACACAGTCGGTATGATATTGTCTACTTTAGACTTAAATCAACGTCGTTTTTTTTTTAAATCTGACTCGAAGTCTCTCGCGAGATTTTGAAGATCTTTTGGATCTAGGGATAAGGTTGAGGATGCCTTTCCAGCTACTCCATCCACGTGGGAAATTTTAGTCCCCTCCCATTCTTGCCCTATTTCTGACCCTAATGGGGAGTCGGGTCGATTTGAGGATTTTGAAGAAATTTTCTCTTTTTTGTTTTAATTGTTTTTTAGGTTCGTTTATTTATTAGGAATCAAAATGAGAATTAATATGAATGAGAAAATTAGATTTAGAAACCTATTGCTTGTTGTTTATTCAAACGTTTTGAAATTGAAATAAGAATCAGATATATAATAATTATTAGAATATTTCTTTTTTATTTAATAGTTAATTACAAATATATTAAAAGGTGAGGCCGTGAAATAAGGAATAATAATGATATTGTAAAATTTTAGAAGAAGAATGAAATTGGATTAAAAAAAACAAGGGAAGGAAATTATTTGAAAAAAAAATTAGTGAGAAAAGAATAGCCTTAATAGTCGATAGCTGGAATAGCTCAGTTGGTTAGAGCGTGTGGACCTTAACCACAAGGTTGGAGGTTCAAGCCCTCCTTCTAGCGTTTTTTAAATTATATAGATTAAAAGTGGCATCGTTAGAACTATAATATATTAACAATTACTTGTTACTATATAAATTCCAAAGTTAATAAACACATTAAAAAGAAGAAAAAAAATTGGGAGAGAGTAGTGGAGGTGGGAAATATATTCTCCTCCTTTATTTTGTAGGTTATATGTTATGTATATTTAATTTCCCATGATTGATTTATGTAATCTTTGAAGGCTCATTATCCAAAGCCACACTCCAATTAATATATGATCAATTGGGCATTTGGCACCCACACTTAACTTTCCCAAAAAGAAACCAAAGCAAAAGAACATGCTCCACTCCAATGGAAAGCATTTTTATTTTTTTGATAATCTAAACTCAATCATGCTTACATTCCTTCATTTAAATATTAATTAACCAAAAGGCCATTTCACTAAAGGACAATAATATGAGGTTTACTAATGATAATCCCACTTTTTTGGGGATTCCAAACTCCATATACATTGCCTTCCCAATTCCCACTCTAATTTTTCTTTTCAAAAATTTAATTTGTTGTTAATTAAATGTATCTAATAATGGATCATTTTAAAGTACATGTACACTTTAATTACATTGTCAAAAAAAAAAATAATGTTATAGTATTTACTTTGGGTTCATTTTGTAATTTCTCTTTGGTATTAAAAAAGCACGTACTTCTTCTTTCGAAGTCGGAGGTTCGATCCTCATATCTCCAAATTATTGTACTATAAAAAAAGCTAATATCCTAAGTCGATTAAATATTTTTCTTCAATATTTTTGTAGATGTGTTTTTTTAGTACAATATGTAGAGGTGGAGGATTGAACATTCGAACTCACAAGCTCTTGGTTGGAGATATATGCTAATTATCGCTGAGYTATGGTCGCTTTAACATTTTTTAGACGAGTGTTGTGTATGAGTATTCTTATCCCTTTATGACACTATTATTGTGGGTACTAGTTACGTTATTCAATCGGCCTATTAAGTATTTTTTTTACATGGGATTTGAGTATTTTTGATTTTATGGTTCAGTTCAAGAAATTAGTAATTTCTATGTGTTTTCTAGCACAAAATGTTGTAGGGTCAGACAGTTGTCTCGTGAGATTAGTCGTGCACGCAAACTGGCCCGGACATTTAGGGATATATATAAAAAAAAATCCATTCAAGATTTTTCTAGGTTTGGTCGTTTTAGCAATTGTACGACTTGATTTCAAATATTTTTTTAAATTTATTTTTGAATCAGTATTTATTTTACCATGATCAAGTTTATGATTCAATTCGATAAATTTGAAAGTTAAAAGGATTAAAATTGAGTGTTTTTTTCTTGATAGGGTTAGTGCATTTTTTTTCAATTTTATTTTAATTTTTTTAGTACAGAGGAGCGAGTGATTTAAGTCTAATGATTTAAAAAAAAAAATTTCTCCTTTAATTATGCCTTAACGAGTTGAATCATGTTCATGTCGCACGTTTGTTTATACTGATCCTAGATTTATGAATTATGTAAAATGTCTATTTTAGTGTTTAAAATTTTTGCAAATAATTACTTTAATTTGCTAAACTTTCAAAATGCTAACCTTTTGGAGAAATAATTATTTTGGTCTTTATTATAATATTCGCTCGACCAATCTCCACATCCTCACTCAACACTTTAACACACATGTTCGAAGCCACTTAATCCATTTATTTAACAATTAATGACAAAATTAAATAACAATGAGAACCTAAATAATTACTCTTTTAAACTAGACTAAAATATATTTTTTAGGAGTTCAGAATCAAAATAGATTAAATATAAAATATAAAATATAAAATTTTAGGAACTCAAGTAGGTGGTCTAAAATTTCAAAAAGATGAAAAGAAAATAGTCACAAAAATATAGAAAACAAAAGTAGATTTAAACCAAAAATTCATTATCAAAATTAACTCACATGGCTAATTCTAACTTAGAATTAAATTTTATAAGACACTAATTACTCTCTCTTTTGAATTTTAGATTTCGATTCTTCACCCAACTAAAGAAAAGGAAAAAATTCTAAAAATAATAATAATATAATTTCTATCAAATAAATATATTTCCTGAGATTTCTTAAAGAGTTAGATTCAAATAATATTTTCGTGGTTATACTTTTGGCTTTGGTTCATTTTAATAATTGTACCTCCAAAACGTGCATTTTGATTCCTGTACTTTCAACTTTTGTTCATCCCTATACTTTCGATAAACCTCCATTTTAGTCCATGTACTTTTTAGAAAGTGATAATTTTGATTCACTCATTTTTATTTTTATCTAATTTATGTCCATCATAACATTTCACTCACTAAATTTCTTGAAACATAATTTTAAATTTGTAACAAAGAGTTTACATTGTGTACGAATTTTATGTTAATTAAGTTGGTTACTTTTTAAAAGTACGATTCAAAACGAATATTTTGAAAGTAGAAGTACTACGACTTTGAAATATTAGATATACATAAACAATATAAACGAACCAAAATTAAAAGTAAGTAAACCAAAATATTATACCAACCAAAAAAATCATAACTACGAGAGAGGGAAAGGAAAAAAAAAAAAAGAAAGAAAGAAATGATGATGATGATAAATAGCTTTTTGAAAGCGCAC